ACTGAGGATGGTAAGCGCTAACCATGTTATGATATCAAACTTTTTTTTTGCCCAAAATGCAAGAGCTTGACTTTCGTGAAATGATGTTTCAACAAGAAGGTGCCACATGCTACACAGCACGCGTAACAATGGACTTATTGAGAGGCGAGTTCGATGAACATTTTATTTCACGGTCGGTACCAGTCAATTGGCTTCCCAGATCGTGCGATTTAACGCCTTTGGTCTATTTATTGTGGGATTATGTTAAATCGAATGTCTACACAGACAAGGTCGGCTCAATTGGCGTTTGTCGGTCTGGCCGAAATATTGGAAAGAGTATGCTGAAATTGGACTAAGCGAATGAACCATTTGAGACGCAGTCGCGGTCAACATTTGCATGAAATAATCTTCAAACACTATATTATGTGGAGCGAACTATTGATTCAAATAAAGACTTTATGCATTTTTCTTAATTTTATGTATTTTTATGAACATGAAATAATAAATTAAATCTGGTCTGGACCCATAAGTCAGGGAGCGCAAATGGGGAATGAGGAAATGGGCAAATAAATTTAGTTTAATAATTATTTTTCAAGTCATATGTCTTCCTCATAAAGTAATCGTTAAATTTTCCTTCCAGCTTATTGTGAACTGTAGATATCTCCGTTTTTTCGGGAAACACCAAGCACAACTATTAGTGAAGAGCTCGGCATTTGCAATGCGCCAGTTATATGTATATTTGATAAAAATGTTAGTTTCTTTACTGACGGCTTCTTTATATCCTTTATGTGTTCACTTGTTGTCTGGCTTCTGTCTATTTTATTTATGCCAAATTTTTCTTCGATTTTTGCTGCATTCATCCATTTTCATTATTATCGCTTTTGTTTATAATAATTTAATAAGGATAATGGGTATATCTAGGCGAAATTTTCCCTATTTTAATGTGCGAATAAGCTGTTACTAAAGCATTATAAGTGCAATGTGCAATATCAAGCGACTGGAAATATAACCGTTAGCTATTGAGATGATTAAGAAATTATTTGCATTTATGCCAACACTTGGCATACAAACACTCCTGTGCTAATACATATATACATACGTGTATGTAGACCCACACGAGAGATATGAAGAGTAAATACAGTCATTTAAACTCACATTCTTTTATAAAACTAAGTCCTTTGCTCAATTGAGTGAGGGAATTATTATGCATGTACATATATATGTACATAAATAGGCGTGCGTGTGATTTTCAGGGGCCCTATCCTATAAAGACTTCTTCATATCTTCCATAGTGTTTTACTCTCTCCTTGCAGCTCATATTTCCTACCGCTGATTAAATAGACTAACTTTTTGTGGTTGCCTTAGCATAACACTAACCGAACAACATACATACAAATATACATTACGAATTGCAGAAAATTTCACCACACTCCACGTCCCGAAATTTGCCTGCTGTGGTCTGGTTATGTTGGAAATTGTTCGCCATTGAAATTGGCGTAAATGAAATGGCATTCATTCAACTGGATGATACGATGAATATAACTGAGAATTAAAGTTTATACGCGTAAACACACACACTCGCACTCGTCTGAGCTATTCATGGCACTCCATTCAAGCATATGCCTTGATAATCTAATAGTTCGCTAAGACAAACATACAGAGCGACCTATTCACTTACTCACGCACCATTCATATGTTTGTATGTATGTATTTACACATATACAAATAGGAAAGTTTTCAAAACTTCTATAGCTTAGCGTCTGTGCGTATGATCGTTGGTATGTGACTTCAAAAACATTTACTGGCAAATTGGTAGCTGACAGTTGCCTTCCCTTGCCTTGCCTTGCAGCACAAGTTGCAAGTTCATTTCATTGCATTCAACTTGTTACGATAATAATATTCTTTGAATGTTGTTTGTTTTTCATCGACAGGAGAATCGTAAGAGTTTGGCATTAAAATATTTCAATACAAACGAGTGGAAAGTTTCGCGAACATTCATACACATATATATGTATTACCGCATACAACTTTAGGATCACCACACTGCAGTGAAGTTTACTAGTTATAAACTGACTCAAAAAGCTATTCAACAACCAACTACTAGGCCTCGCGGCTAATAGTTTTCAATAAAAACGAAAAGAATATACCCTCCTGCTTTCTGAGAGTAACCATCAGCTACACGATATTTGAGAACTGTGGCACGTCATTGGAAGCTCTCTACATACAGTTTTAAACAAATCTTTTGGCATTCAACAAAGTCGAAAAAGGCGCTGGAACAATTACTATAGCCGAGCAAAGTGCAAGGAAATAGAGTACGCAACTCTCCACTCCTCAGTCGACCACAGCACGTGGGGACTGGGGAGAACTAGAAATAGAGAACTAAACAGAGAAAGAAATGTATTTTCAAACAAAGGGGGGAAAGTCCGAACTTCATTAGTATGAGAAGCTTGAGAAGCTGGCAAACATTCTTAAAAAATATTTCTTGGTGGAATCAAAAAGGTCATCTGCTGACCGAGTTTATGAATAAAAAAAAACTTCACCAACCTGCTGAATAACAAAAAGTATGCAAAGACAAAGATAGGTAACCCGAATATTCAAGCGATGATAATGAATCAGATATTCTAATAACTGACTATGATGAAATTCGTCTGACGATTACCCGCTTAAGTATAGTCTGCCCAAAGCATAGAAAGGGAGAACCTACATTCTGCGCCAATTGCCGTAGATTATGCACCATAATGGCTTAATAGAGTACAGCGAGCCAAATCAGAGAATATTCCATGAAGTACCTGCCGGAAGCATGTTTGTTATGGGCCGTTTATATGTTGAGTGAATCCCGGGGATTCAAAGGATATGATAAATGATAAAGGCAATAGTTATTTAACATTAATCACTAAATGTTGCTAATCCCGAAGTCAGCTAGCATGACACAATTCTACAATAAGCCCTTAAAAAATTTCACGGAACTAAAACAGATGTCACAAAAGATTTTGTAACGGGATTCATAAAATCTAATTTGCTGACTCATATATTCAGCTCTTTAAAATCATAAGAGTTAATTGGCCTTATTCGAGATCTTTCACTTTCAGTCCTTGGTGGAGTAGTGTTTTTTGGAACAGTTTATTATTTTCACTGCATTGAATATTCTCTAACCAAAACTAAAAATACTTTTGCATTTGTATTGGAATATGATTTAAATTTAATATTTAATGCTTTAATGTAAAACTTAAAGAGAAAGAAATTTTATTACGTTTTAAAGAATCCAGTTTCTTCCGTTAGCATATAAATATGACTAGTAAGTTAGACTGATTTCGGGTTGAAAATACTGAATTTCTCAAGTAATTTATGTATATATATATATTTGGCACTTTGTAACCGCTGAAGCGATATCTGGCCGAGCTCCTACTCCAATTTGTGGTTTTGCGTCCTGATATTTTCCAACAAATATGGTGGGACTTACTCCTTATACTAAGCTGCCTCCGAACGGCTGATGGTATTTTTTGTGAGGAGCTTTTATTTCATGTCGAAAGTACACTCGGAGGAATTAACATTCCCTGCCAAAGGGCGACCGCAATTATAAAATTTAACTTAGCACCGGGATTTGAACCCAAGCCTTCCGAATGACAGTAGATAAGGCTTACTACTCGAAACCGCGGCAAAATTTTTCTTTGGTACAAAAAATAAAAACGTAAGTACAATAGCTGAATTCGTCGTAAACCTCTAGTCTGATCATAGTGCGAACACTGCTACAATTATTCAAAGGCTAAATATTGCACAAAAGATGGTTTGGAATAACTTCAAAAAGGCTGTTTACACAAAGGATCTCAATGTATGGGTACCACATAATGGTCAATGGTTGTAGTCGAAAGGCAGTGTGTCGGCACAATTGGTGTCCAAGGGTGTTTTGTGCGTTTGCTGATCTGCTCTTCCACGCCATATTTCGTTCTCGTCGTTCTAAGACGCATGAGTGGGCTGGAGAAGTATTAGCTTCAAAGGAAGGCTATAAAAATCGGTCGACCCAATTTTTGCCAATAGAAACGAGGGTATCTACATATGTAAGAGCCATAATCCCATTACCATCAAAATGGCAAAAATTTATTGAGCCAAAGGGTGCGTGTTGGGAATAAATCGGATAATTTTAACTATGGTGAGTAAAACTTTCAATATAGCCTTCAATTGGATGTAATTTGATATACGACATATAATTTGTTGAACAAAATGAGACTGTATGAGATTTAGTGCTGTCATAAGCAGTAACAGACAGCCAAATCAATTTTATACGAGTACCCTTCAAGGTAATCCTTTTCTGATATAATTCACTTATGCCAACGCTTGTTCCAATCCTCTCTGCATACCAAAAATTCACTTTCAGGTAAGGCATTCAGAGCGCGTGCCAAATAACCTTGCTTATCTTCAATCAACAGCATCTGCTCTTTAGTGTGGTCCTGACTATGCCTCATCTTTCACACTTTCTCAAACATTTTGTACCGCTCATAAATTCTAGTTGTCGATAGAGCTAACTCACCGAAGACCTCCTTTAACATATACATACAGGGCGCTCCAAAATTTTAATAACTTTTGAAAAAACAGAGCGTAGATCACAGCGCAAATGTTTGCCTTGAGCTCATCAATAGTTTGAGGGTGGTTGACGTATACCCCACAAGAAGAAGTCCGGTGGGGTTAAATCAGGTGATCTGTCAGATGGTGCCTTTTCGCCGCGATATTTTTTTGACATATCCAAAGCATATCTGATTCAATCGCTCGGTTGGTAAATGTGAAAGTTAGTCACCGTTTACATACATACATAAAAGATGGAACACCCTGTATAAATAAATGTACTGAGTGTAACTTTTTTTAACTTCAACAAAATTTTCCCTTCCTGGCAAGTGTGTTTTCTATACGTAAACCTTCCCTAGCAACTATCACCTTGGATACCAAATGGTTAGTTGCAATAATATCGAGGGGTTTAAATATTTTTTACCACCATAAGCGCTACTTTGTTCTGCAGTACTCTTCACGCAATGAAACACATCAAACAGCTTGAAGAGTTCGTCTACCCACCTTTGGAAGGCAGGGAATTAAAGAAAACACTTTTGTCTGCTGTTTTCATTGAGGCGTCTGCAAAGCTTAACATCTATCAACGCAGTCAAATGATAAACGCTGGACAGTGTGCTTTTAAGGAGAGCACTTCAAAGTCCAAACAAAGTTCACGCCGAAGCTCAACAAAGGAAACAAGCCGCAACCCGGATGGCAGAGAAAAGGCAGCGCTCAGTGAGAAAATGTTAAATGAAATAAGATTAGATCAAGAGCTGACTTCGTTGCGTAAAATTTACGCTGTTGCACTAGATGAACTTGATGATGAGCATTTCAATGACCGAGTCAAAGCGAGCAGACCACATGACCGGTTACTCACTGCAATGGAAGCCCAAAAACCAGACCAAAATGTAGTGGAACAGGCACTCAACATGCTGCGCACAAACAGAGAAACTCTAAAAGCATTGAAAACGCAATTAGTAGCAGAACAAGAGGCAGGCAAAGATCGCATGGCCGAACAGGCTGAACGCATAGCCACTCTACGACACAATCTACGCAACGTGCGACTACTTAATGAATTAGAGTTGCGTTTAGTGCAACGCTGGGAGGATAATCGCTATACACAAGCGAGCATAGTTGGTGGCAATGAGGAGCGCACATTGCAACAGCAAATCGATGAACTAAGCGGCCGCTTGGCCGGTGAGGAACGCATCATTGTTGCGGTGGATAAATTCCGTGTGAAACAATTTGCCGATTTGAATGCGCAGATAGAAGCATGGCAGCGAAAGTATAAGCGCGTAATGGAGATCAAATGCGAAGAGACCGAGGCTAAAGAGCGTAAAATACTGAAGTTGCAAAAGTCACTGGAGAGACATCGAGAAACATATGCTGCAAGGCAAAAATTCGTGCGTGACTATTTGGCCGAGAAGGAAGTGGAGCGTCAGTTGTACGAGCAACAAATTTATCGTGTGGAATGCGCTGTGCGGATACAGGCCTGGTGGCGGGGGTTGATGGTGCGGCGAGGTCTTGGGCCTTTCAAGAAGAAAACCAAAAAGGGTAAGAAGGGAAAGGGCAAACCCAAATAAATGTGGGAAATTTAAATCGAAGAAAATGATGTGTAATTTACTGGTTGAAATGTGTCCTCCTAAGACTATAACGTAAATGAGTGTGGAAGTTTTGAAGAAAATAAAACGGAAATGAAGTATTTTCTATTATTATCTATGTTCGTGTGTTTCTCAAGAGTATGTTGAAAACCATTAAAATTCTTTTGGAGTGAGCGTGACAAATGGTAATCTGATGCTAGGATTAGGTGTAATGGTGGAAGTGGCGCCAGCTCTAGATAAAGGTTTGTTAATTTTTGCCGGTTTCTAAAAAAGGTGTCAGATAAGATGTTACTGTGATTAAATTTCGGATCAAAATGTGAGTATTGCTTCCTAAATTAGCTCGCACCGATTAATTTATTATCGTCGTTACCAAATCGGACCAGCAACTATTGCATCAATGTTAGGTGTTTATCTGAAGCCATGTGGCATAGTCATGGAAGATGCTAAAAGTCATTCTCAGCTCTTTTGGAGGGAAAATATTGAGAGAGCAAAAACGACGCCCACCGACTGCAATAGACCATCTGTAATAAAGTGATTGGGTAGGACACATAAAGTAGTAAATTTACTAATGAAGTCTTAGTAACTCTTTCATTTTTTATGGAAGTTTTGTCAAGTTTAAATCGCTGAAGAAATCAATATTAGATCAACCGTGCCCATCATCTGTATTGGTCAGGTTAGGCGCCACACTTTCGTCTCCAGTGCCTTTGGCAAGGTATCCCATTTTCTTAAGCAGAGGAATCTCGTGTGGCGTCCCCTGTTGTTGTTGTTGTTGTTGTTGTTGTTATTGTTGTTGTTGTTGCTGCTGTTGTTGTTGGTGGTGGTGGTGGTATTGGTGTTGTTGTTATTGTTGTTGTTGTTATCGTTGTTGTTGTTGTGGTTGTTGTTGTTGTTGTTGTTGTTGTTGTTGTTGTTGTAAAAGCAATGTATTCCCCACATCCGTTTTCGGGGAATAATTCTGGAGAGACAGTCCTTCGCCGTTGTTGTTGTTGTAACCGCAAAGTATTCCCCAAATCTGTTTTCGGGGAAAAATGCAGGAAAGACCCGTCTGTCGCGTAATGCGCGAAAATTCTATCAAAAGATTCGACGACTTAATGAAGGTTCCCAGACCAGAGCAAACTCGTACCAAAACTAGTAAGACTATCTAGTGACCGATGCTCAGGGCATAATGAGCTAACGGAAGGAATAGTTTTGCAAAAGCACCATTTCGCGCTCATTTATTGGGTCATAAGGCTTTGACACTTCGCTTAACAGGAGTATGACTGTTGATCTGGTAAACTCACTATTGCGCAGATATTCCCCATGAAGCAAGTCCTAAAGGAGACAGTGACGAAACCGATACTATAAAAAGCTATCTACACGTCGCTGTGTGACTATTAACATCGTGCTGGTGAGAGTAACACGTGCTGCAAAACTACATAAGATAAATACAATCTTCTATAAGACTGTACAACTGTTGACGTACGTCCGTCAGAATAGGATTTAATATTAAACGACGTCTAGACAAAAAATGCCTCTTGTCATCAACGAATAGGCAGCACATACGCGGGTTAGCTAACACCTCACTCTTGCATTGCAATGCAAATTACCGTTTGCCAACACTTGATACTTTGGAAAGTGTAGGCAATTGAAAAGCAAATTAGTTTCTCGAAAATGAAAGACCAAGCTCTACCACTTTCTCATTAGCCCCCTCTCGTTATATGTTGAGCCGACACTAGGAATTTTCGAAGTTTGCGTAAGATACTCGGTTCTTTTGATATTGATAGCTATGAAAACCGCAGTTGAGGTGCCGTGAGCTGTACGGGACACAAGGCAACATTGAAACAACTTAGAAATCAAGAGACAAGGTTGTGTTGGCTTGGTCATGTCGTCGGTATGAGAACAAGAACTCTCATCTTTGAGGTATTCGATGCAGTATCCACTGGTGGAAGCCTTTATTGGAAAGATTCGATATATTTGGTCATGATTTACTTTGACTCTGAAACAAAGTGGAGGCGTACCCACTGCCAATTAAATAAATAACTTTGTATTTTTGGGTAAATTCACATTCGCAGTGCTGCTGTCAAAACTTTTGAACTTTTCCTAAATGCGCTAACTTAACTGTATCTTAACACAGTTTTATTAACACCGTTACTTCAATGGGAAAAGTATATAAGAAAATTTAGATACTTCACTTATTGACATGCCGCTTGTACCAGCAAAAGTTTGGAATATGTTTTATGATATTATTTCAAGTTAGGAAACTGTCAATTGAAAATTTGTTTGATTCATGGTATCATAGATTAATTTCAACAAGCACACGCCACGAAGACAATTGATTTGAGTACTCTTTAAAGGAAACAAAATGAAGTTAGCTTCAAAGGAAGGGAGCAGCTAATACAGAGTGGAGACCTATATACAAACAGAAAAAAAATTTGAATTTGAAATGATTTTTGTTTAATGTTCAATATATGTGCTCAGTTTAGTATACATATTACTTATAAAAATATATAGATCAAATTTTATAATTAATTTTAAGATATGTAAAAAAATGTTTGTTTTAAAAAATCTATTTAAAATCTACTAATATTTTTTATGACGCCATTAAAAGTTGCATTATTTAATTTTTTGTAATTAATGTTCACCTCCTAGATTAATGTCGTTCGTCTTCTATAAATGTGTTTTTAAAAAGGCAAAATCAGGTATAACCGAAAAATACGTATGCATAAGCACCCTGTATTAGTTCTCAAATGCTGAGCTGGCAGCTTCTTCAAAAAAAGTGCAACTGATTTGCCCGATTTAAATTCAAATCAGAAATGATTTATAGCCTCAAACCAAACTGTCGATTTCGAAGCCAACATCACCAACCATTAGCACACCACAACACAGCCTCAAGATAATCCGTGAGAGAAGAAAAACGTACCTAACGATAAAACGGCAATGTATAATGCATGTATATGCGCCCACATTTATATATGTATTTAGTTTTCAAACAAAAAATATTTTAAAATCCCTTGCTTTTTCTTACATTCCTTACAGCTAACTTTTGCTTCGACTTTATTATTTCGACCTTCTTTTTGCGCGTAGCTCATATATAGTAGATTTGTACTTTTACTTAGCTATAAATAAAAATATAATCCAGTAGAAATACATGTGCATATGTATATATGTATCGTACAATCAAACATCTGTCAGTTTATCGACAAAAAGATTTTATTTTCAGCATAGAAATATTTCCGAAAACTTTTCATGCGTTGTAATACGCGATTATAGCCTTACAGGATTCTATACTAGTGGATACATAAGGCTCGCTCACTTTTGACCCTTTTTTATTTTTTTATTATTATTTTTTTTTTTTTAATTTTGTATGTTGTTTATTATTACCTCCTTTTTGCTGCAGTACAGCACATTGGCTTTTTTGTGTAGGCAGTGAAATGATAAAAGCTTAAAATCTATTCTAATTTATGTAAAAAAATTGTCAAACCCAATTCATGTCACTGAAATTAATTCGAGCGAACCGGAAATAAAATAAAACTTTATACAATTGCTTAAATTGAAATTGAGTAAACCGCAATTCTAAGAAGAAGACAATGTAGAAAGTGTGTATATAAACTCAATCAGCGTAAGATTTATAGAGAACGTATCGAATTTATCAATGAACCCGAACTCGCACTCAAGCCAAAATAATTTTTGATTTATGCTTATGAAAATTTATCCACAAAATTAAAAAGCATTACATATTTATTTATATAAATTTACAGCATTTTTTCCCGTAAAAAGAGTTTTGTGAATTCTGTCGTCGTGCAAGCATTTATACTTTCATTTCGTGAGCAGTTAGAGTTGGCCAGGCCAGAGTTGGAATTATAAGGAATTAATATAAAGCACGTCCTCTTCTTCAGTGGCATATGCACCGCTTAAGCAATTATGGCAAAGGAAAGTTCCAATTATAGCTTGCCAATCACTTCTTATATCCGCTGCTTAACGCCGATTTGGAAATACCAAGTAAAATAAGATCGCATTCTACCTGATGCGTTCCAAAGTAGTGAAGAATTTCTTCTTCACCCCATTTGATCAGTGAAAACTGAAAGCATATTTTCAAAACTGACGCCCTTTAAACCATTTGGACGACATGACTCTCCCAGCGTAGCCACTGTCTGTTTATTTGGCGTTTATTTCGTACAGCCCACCATTCAATCGTCTACGATATTCGCTATTTTCAGCTATGCAAAGTACTACAAATCTTACGCAAAACCCTTTTCTCGAAAACAACTAGTTTTGGCTGTTCCATTTTTATCACTCTCCTAGCCTCTGAACTACATAGTAGGACTGCATTGATGGGCAATTTGTAGAATTTTATTTTTCCATTGCCTACTCAGTCCAAAACGGCACCCGTTCGAAAGCTTATTTCTGCGTTCGATTCATAGTGTTTATACCAGTTGCAAAATAAAATGAAAAAAAAATCAAAGATTTGAAATTGAGGACTCTCAAGTTAAGAAAATTTTTTTAATAATTTGTTCAAAGAAATGGTGAAATACAAATTCTTTTCCTTTTCCCATATTCTTAAAAAAATATTAAAGAAAATTAGCTAATTTTTCAAACCCTTTTAACCCCTTAGGCAAGACATCTAAAATTACTTTTGTACATAGATTGGGAGCTTGGATAACAGGCAATGGAGTGAGATTTTTTTTTAACAAAATTTACTTCGTGACAAAGCATACTCAAGGGATAGGTAAATTAGCAAAATTGTCACAATGGTTGCCAGATAACCACATTTTCTTGGTCAGCGATTGAGGAAAACAACTTGCATGACATGTGGTTTCAACAAGTTGGTGTTACATGCCCCATCACACCAGCGAATATGGCTTTATTGTGAGAGAACTTGAGAGCTGCGTGATCTCTCGCCTTGGAGTTGTCAATTGGTCACCGAGGTCGTGCGATTGAATAACGTTTCACTCTTTTATTGAAGCTTTCTGAATGACTGCATTTATCCAGAGAAAACTTTAACT